ACTCCATAGCTAAGTATTGACTGATGTCAAAGTGAAGTCAATATTTTCAATGAGAGTCTTAACATACATAAAAAAAGAAACAAAAAGTCCAGTGAGCAGCTTGCTGGGAAACAACCACCCACTTCCAGGAACAGCTAATACAAGCAGATAGGCAAAAGCCCACACTTCCCTTGGGTGGGCTACTTGGGCTCAACGATATCTGAAAAGTAGATGTTTGACCCTAGTGTGGGAATAAAACTATCGTAAGTGCCCAAACCTCTTCCATGGAGAGAGGAACCTAGCACAAGGCCACGTAGCAATAGGACAAGAGGGAATGATTTTAAACTGCTTAGGTTTAGATTAGATATTAGCAAGAAATTCTTTACTTAAGAAAGGCACTGGCACAGTGCCTGGAAGTGTTCAAAGTCGTGTTGGACGGGGCCCTGAGCAACCTGGTCTAGTGAAAAGTGCCCCTGCCCATGGCAGGGGATTTGGAACTAGATTTTAAGGTTCTTTCTAACCCAACCCAAAACACTTTGTGACTCCATGATTCAGTGGACCTGAATAAGACCTCAGCGAAAGGCATCTAGGCAACCCCATAGGAGACTTAGTGCTTCCTGCAAGATACTCTGTGACTCAGGCTACACAATAGTAAGCAGAGGGGACTGGCCTGCCTTTCTGATGCTGAATCTTAGTCAAAATGCAGAAAAGGTCTCCTCAGCCCAAGGGAGATGAAATGCATAGATACCATTAGTCAAAGCAGTATCAAGTCTACCAGGTTATGGAGCAATTGGAGTGAGGGGACAGTGAGGACAGGGGATAAACAGCGAGGAAAAGAGTCTCCTCTGCCTGTCTTGCTCAAGCTGTGTCACCAGACACTAATCAGAGCAAAATTCCTGTGGTCAGGCAGGAAGAATGAGTAAGAGGAACCTCTAGCCTTGCTGATAGCCATGGGGTTCCACCAAGAGGAGCTGGCTTCTGCCTCCTTTCATAAATATTCTTTGTGTACTTTTCCTGCTGGCTCTCAGTCAGCAAAGGTATAATCAACATGGTGAACAAAGTGGTGACACACTTTTCCATACCAGTCCTTTGGTCAATACAGACTAAGTGAGTTGACTCCAATTCCTGTCAGGTGGGCTCCCATCCATAAGATATGTTCCAGTGGCAAAGGATGAGGATGAACCTACAGAACAATCTGTATTTTTGATGAAGGCTGTACTCAGTAGAGTGCAATGTGTATCCAAGATTTCCAAACTTCTCGAATAAAACAAAAAACACAGCTGCAAGGGCTTGGTTTTTTAAGTCCTATTTGTTACAGGAGTTCAAAAGAATCTGTGCTTCTAGTTCTAAGTTACTACAGGACTCCCACAAGGATGGGAAACATTCCCAGAGCAAACAACTAGACCTACCTTTTTCATATTTTTCCCAGTGGGAACTGGTGATGGTTGTTTGCTACAATTGTCATCAGCATTTTTTTTTAGCTTCTTGGAATAACTAAACTCTTCCACAAGTAACCATGCTGGCTGATGCTGTGGGTTCTTCCTTTTGAGAAATTGTATCAAATGCAATCAAGCTTGGACAACTTCCTAAGCCATCTGCTGTATCTCAGCCACAAAGGAAAGAGTTCATGAGCAATCCCTTGCACAACAGAAAGGGAGAGCTCCTTCATCTGCAAGATTACTCTCATGTGGGGGAAGAGATAAGAACTGGGGATTGCAAGGCACTGATCTGGTTTTGTGGCTTTTTCCAACAGTTTGGTGCATGAAAAATCTCCATTCCTGGGATTGCATAATAAGAGGAAGGGAAATGAGATCTTAGGGAGGGATTCAAAGATCATCAGGCAAAACTCCAACACTAGCTCTTCTTACTAATCCATTTTATGTCATCCTCATTCACACTTCACCTTCTTTTGCCTGACGTGTCTGTTAGGATTTATTCAGGAGAAACTCAGAGTGACTCAGATAATTTTCCTTTGGCTTAAGAGTTGTCTGGATTTTAACAAGTCAAACCAGGCATGATGCTATCAGATGTTGAGAAACACAGAATGGAGCTGGTGTCTTCTGGAACAGAAGATACAAGGAAGGCTCAGCATGGCCCTGGAAGAACCTAAATGGGGGAAGATGTCTTACGGTTCCCAGACCTATATGAAGAGATAAAATTGAAGTTCCATTTCCATCTTTCACATTCCTCTGGTGTCCCCCAGGCAGTGAACTGTCTGAGACAGGAGGGAAAATTTGTCCAAATACAGGATGGCTGGTTTTGCATTTGAAGGTTCAGCCCATGGGACACACAGCTCTGGGAAAACCCTGATTTACCTTTACAAACATGTGCTCCAATGTGGCAGAGAAACAGAAATAGTGATGGTGGGAAACATGACCTTAAAACTAAATGTCCTCTAAAAATGACCTTGGTATTATCATGATAGCTAACTGTTTGATCTGCTGGAGGGTGCTGGAGGGCCATGAAGATGCTCAGAAGGCTGGAGCACTTCTGCTATTAAGAGAGGCTGAGGAAGTTGTGGTTGTTCAACCTGGAGAAGAGAAGAGAAGGATCTGGAGAGACCTTAGAGTACCCTCCAGTACCTAAAGGGGCTATAAGAGAGCTAGAGAGGGACTTCTGGCATGGACATGGAGTGATAGGACATGGGTGAAGGGCTTCAAACTGTCTGAGGGGGGAGGTTTAGATTAGAAGTTAGGAAGAAAGTCTTTATTGTGAGGGCACTGAGACACCGGTACAGTTGTTTTTGTTTGAAGTACCTAAGAATCAGATGAATGCATAACCAATTTTGTGTTAGTATCACACCAGGGCTAATCCCTATCCCCAGGTCACCTAGAATTGTCAGACCTCTCCCTGTCATGATTTTGGCCAACTCCATCAAACTGGGGAACTTTTATTAAAACCTCTCTTGGCATTAGACACTCAAGCCAGAACATATCTCAGCTGATTCTTTTTTACCTGACCAACAAAATATCTGAGTACACAATTTTCCCATCTAACAGAAAATATCACTTTTTATTTTAGGTTTTAAAGAAAGAAAACAAAATTTAAGGATCTTTCTTTAGTAAAATTAAGAGGTTTTAAGCCAGACTCATGTTTTTCTATTCTTCCTTTCAAATCACCAGTCCTAGCAATGCTGACTGCTGGACTTGCATATATATAGAGAGAGATATACATAAATATATATATATATACATTTACACACTGGACTTTTATACATATATATATATATTAGCTGGATCTCAGCCAGAGGATTTAATTCCAATTTCTCCAGCTTTGAACTGGCATTTTGCTTTACTGAAACCAACTTTGACATGGCAAAGGCCTAACATGAGGCATGGAAAAAATGAACAAAATGGAAAACTAAACAAAAGCTTGCAGCTTAACAACTTCCCCTACCCAGAGCTATAAAAGGTGAGCAGTGTAAAGGCCCATCTGAATAGATCCTTGCAGGAGACTGTTCATGTCTGGAGATACCACCATGACGTTTACATGGAAAATCACCACCCAGATTAAGGGGTTTTCCCATGGTTTTCCCCAAAAAGCATTTGACTCATCTGAGGCCTGAGCACAGATTTCCTCTCTCTGGCTCCCTAGGGCTGCTCCTTGGCACAGCTCTCGCGGTGTGATGGTGGTTCCCAAAAAGCAGCTCATGAGACATGGGCGCAGAGAGAGCACATAATGCAGATAAACCACACTCTTATGTGGAAATGCAGAGGGTGGAGAGGAACAATTGTGACATCTTCCTCACCCTCCCAATATCTCCTGCCTCAAGCCTCATTCCCTCTGATCAGAGCTCTGGTTGCTGGTGGGGGATGAGGGGATCACCCAGCAGATCTTCATGGAGTGACACACTTGGAGAAAGCAGCTGAGCAGAGCCAAAACAACTCTTTTCACCAATTTTTCATCACTAAGAGATGCTAAATACAAATCTCAGCAAATACTTGTTTGAGGGTCATGGTCTGAGCAAACTCTAATATGGATATGGAGCATGTGGATATTTCAGTGCTACTATGAGTAAGCACAGGGAGCCTAGTTGTACCTTCTTGACCTAAACTTCTTAAGCAACCACACAGCTTCAGACCTGGCAAAGGCCATGAATACACAAGGGGTGCAATTTGAGAAGCTGGAGCCAGCCACAGGGTATGTCCTCTGTGACTCATGGCCTCTTACAATCCCTTATGCCTTTTCCAGTGTCACAGCACCATGACACTAGGTAAACTTCTGATTCTCTTTCCAGTACTGAAATCATGACTCAAGCCACCATTGGGCCATTACATGTAATAAGCAAGAAATTCTGGTGAAGGGCTGCTCTTTCACAGCCCCAGGGAGTGCCCATCCTCCAGTGATGGGGTTCAGACTCTCTGTTCCTCAAACTATGAATTAATTTGTTTGATGGTTTTTTATTTTATTCTATTTCAGGGATTGTACCATACAGTTTATAAGCCCCAGTTTCCTGCCTGCTAGCATAGCTCAAACTTTGGTGCTGCCTCATCCTACTCTGCACACTGGGGTGCCAGAGTTGACCTTGGCCCTAAAAGCCTGGAAAACTGAGTGCAGGCAGTGTTCAGGAATAGGACTCACTGCTGCAAATACAGCCCTGCAGAGGTCTGGGCTAGAAACAAGGCTGTGCTGCGAGGTTAACTCCAGAGTAAGTAAGCTTTCTTTTCCCAAGAAAGCAAAGGGACAGGATTTTTGTCCAGAAGGGATGCAGAGCAGCAGGAAGAGGGAGGGAGTGTGTGTGTGTGTGTGTGTGTGTGTGTGTGTGTGTGTGTGTGTGTGTGTGTAAAGCCGGCTTGACACCTCCCCCCTCCTTTCCCCCAAAAGGGGGGTCTGCCAGTTCAGGAGTGGCACAGCCTAGCGCAAGTCCTGCCTCCTTCCTCCTCCTCCTTCCCTCCTCCTCCTCCTTCTCCTCCCAGATGTTCCCTTGTGTGCAGCCATCTGTTGAGCTCCCTCCTCCCTCCTTCTGCGGGAAAGGGGGCAGTCAGCTTGCCCAGCCAGCTGCACGCCTTGGAAGAGGAGGAGGAGGGAGAAGGAGGAGGGAAGAAGGGGACAGCCGGCCCCAAGCCTTGCTGCTGCCGGCTCCCGGCGGCGCCCGCTCCCCGCAGTGGGAACCGGCGCTGCGCGGCCGCCCCGCCGTGGGAACCGGCCCGGCGGTGGGAACCGACCCCGGCCCCGGTGAGTCCCTCCTTGTGCCCCCAACCCCTCCCTGACCCCATCGCTTCCTTGCCCCGCTCCATCCCCACCCTGCCCCTTGCATGCCCTCTCTGCCCGCCCCCTCCCCCCCACCCTCTTCTCCGGGTGTGCAGAACCATAGAGGGCTCATTTTTGGGGAGGGGGCGAGCTGTCTGTATCGGAATGGGCTGAGCCCTCTCTATCGCCTCCCTGGGGATGCGCAGGGCCAGCCCAGGGGGTGCTTGCTGGGGAGACCTCCCCAGCCTCAGAGCACGGAAACTTTTTTGGTGTGATGAGTTAGTCCTCGCGTGGGGACTCAGCGGCCGGAGTTGCAGGGTAGGGGGCAGGATAGAAGTCTCGGGTGGAGATAAACTACTTTTTCCCCACCTCTGGTTTTTCCAAATGAGAATTTTGAGATGCAGGGGGTGCTTACGAGCCCCCAGCCCGGATGAAGCGTCTCCAGCTGGAATCCCTTCTCCTCTTCTTCCCTCGGTGGAATGGTGGGTTTGTAGAATGCTCGGGATTGCCACGGCTGCAGAGTAATCCGAGCAGCAGCTGGAGGCTCCGCACCGCCTCCCGTGCTCGGCTTCGGGGCTTTGATTTCACATAGGGCTCCCTGTCTCCCTCCCTCCCCCTCTTTTCCCGGTCCTCCACTCCTCTCTCGGGAGCTTTTTGGTGGGGTTCAGGTGCTGGGAGGCTCGCAGGGTTTTGGAGCTTACTCAAGGTAAGGAGAGAAAAGAGAAAGGAAGGGAGCGAAAGCATAGACCGGTCGGCTGGTTAGGGTGAAGAAGCTGGAAGGTGCAGAGGGGGGGTCTTTTCTCCTCAGGTTGCATTGATAAAGGCACGGCAAAGCTCCCTGCTTGGGAATTTCCCCTCTTTAAGTGGATTAAGCTGGAGGGGAACGTGTGTTTGGGGACGGGGGAGAAGCAGCAGACAAGGATTTATTCATTTTCTCATTGAAAAAAAAAAAGAAAAGAAAAAAAATAAGGAAGAAAGAAAGAGGGAAGCTGCTGGTTGTGACTTCTGAAGCAGAAAGTCAGAAAGCTCGGGGTTCCCCTCGTAGCGCACACACCCCGTAAACTTTTAAGCAGCTCCATGGAAACTTGTTATTAATGCTGCAGTCATTAAAAGGCACAGCCCACGGCAGATTTATTAGCTCAGTAAACCACAACACGTGCCAAGCTCTCTGGAAACAAAAGGGTCTGTCAACTTTAGTCGTCTTGCTTCGTATTTGAGAAGGCTGGGAGGAGAGCGGTGAGGATGGAGCTGGTGGCTTGTGTCGTGGGGAAGTGTCATTGCCTCCGTTACCCGACGCTCTCCGCCGCGGTTAGCGAGTGTAATTTGGTGGCAGCGAAGGCATCGCAGCACGGCGAGCTCTGCTGAGCTCACGCTGTTCATCGCGGCAGCGGGACGAACAGCCCCCAGCCTCCCGAATGGAAAGCTTTCCCCGTGTGCCTGCCATGATAAATCAGCCGCCGTGAGCCTGAATAACAGCATTCACTGAAGTTACAGTAGGAAACTTGTCTGGGCGGACACTGTGCCATTGCTCTGCAGAGAGCAGCCGGTGCCGATGGCTGGCGTTGAGCTGAAATATCGCATTGATCGGCGCTCCAAGGGTCAGCTGGCAGCACCGGGGTTATTGCAGCGGTAAGGAGCAGAGCGAACACCGGGAGAAGAGGTGCCGGGGAAAGGCAGGTTTAGATCAGCGTCTCACCGATCTCTACATGAATAAGGAGCACGCTGGATGTGTTAGATGCTGGAAGGACCAGAGACAGGCTGGCGTGTCCCTGGGAGGATTTGCAGGCCAGACTTGGCTGACTGCTTGCTGTCGGCAGCCAGGCGCTCGCAGGCAAACCGGGTCAGTGTCTGCCATCGCCCTGGTGCAGGGCAGGGATCATGTCCTATCGTGACCCACGGGAGCCAGTCCCTGTCCCAGAGAAGATGTGGGCGGTGCTTGCTTACATGTGGGTTATAAATGGCCCAGCGAGGACCTGCCATCTCCCATCTCTGGCGTGGGTGCGCAGGGTGAGTGATGCTTGACACCGGGGTAGGCAGGAGGTTGGGTGGCAGCACTGGGACGGATTTTCCCTTGCGGCATCCTGGAGCAGGGGAGACGTTGCTGTTTTGTGAACGAATTTGAGCAGCTGCTGTCAGAGGCACTGGGGAGCAATGACAAAATGCATGAATCATGACAGACATCCCCGGGGACGTTAAGTTCTGATGACAAGGTGGACTGGCAGGAAAGGCTGCAGGGTTGGGTTGAGGGTCTCCTGCACCCCTTTAAAACTGAGTTCAAGAAACTAACCAGCATTGAATGGGTGGGAGAAAATTGGGACAAAAAGCTGTAAAACAAAAAAACGTGCAAAAGTTTAGAGGGTTTTTTTGTTTTCTTTTCTTTTTTAATAGGACAAGCATCCTGTGCTCCCCCAGCCCCACAGTGAGCAGCAGTGTGCACCACCCCAGTGCCAGACAGAGCTGGGAGAAAAAGGTGAGCCACCATCCTCCGGAGGTTTAGAGTTTTCCCTCCATCCCTAACTGGTTTTTTTTTATCCTCTTTCAGTCTCTCCTCCTTCCTTCTCCTCCTCCTTCTCCTCTCTTGTTAGCTGGTTGGTGGGGAGAAGCAGAGGCTGAAGGGTGGGATAAGACAAGGCATCCTTGTCCGGCAGCCCTCCTGACCCCTGGCACCCCCAGGCTCTGCACGGTAGCTGCAGCACTGGCTGCCTTGGCAGGCTATCAAAAGAAACTTCCGAACACTGAGATGTCAAGGGCTGGGAAGAGATAAAAGCTGGCTTGAGCAAGCCATTTCTTGTCTTAAAACTTGGCACCTGGACTTATCGAGGCAAATGTATGAACGGCACAGCCATTCATTAGAGGGGAAACTTGAGATTTTAATTTTTACTGCAATTTATATATATATATGTATATATAATTTTTTATTACTTTTTTTTTAATATCCTGGGAGGTTCCATTGTGTGTATGGTGTGCAGCAGGGGAGAAGGAAATATGTGCTCTGGGAATTGCCTCAGCCTCCCTGCTCCAGGGAGCAAATGCTGCAAGAGATTAAACCAACCTGGCTGCCTTAGCATGGCACATTCCTGAGTTGCATTAACCAGGCTGGAAATCTGTATGTCAGAGTAGTGGCAAACTGGAAAAAAGCACTTTATCTTCACCGTAACTGACAGAGGGCCATGTGCTGTGTGTAATATCTGAGTGCCAGCATCTGTGGGATTTCTTTTCCTTCCCCTTTCTCCCGTCCTGCTTCTTTTTTGCAGTCTGTGCCTCTCTATGCTGACTCCTCTCCTTTCCCCTGATTCTTGCCAGCAACTCAAACCCTGGAGTGGGGAGAGAAATCACAGAATGTTTTGGTTTGGACCTTAAAGATCATCCAGTTCCAACCCCTCTGCCATGGGCAGAGATATCTTTCACTAGACCAGCTTGTTTAGAGCCCCATCCAAACCCGGCCAACACTTTCAGGGATAGGGACTAATTTTACTGAATTTTGGTGGTTTTTTTTACTTTGAATAAGATCACTCTCATCAGGAAAAATTGAGACGTAAAGGCAAATTTGTGTTGTGACAGACGGGTCAAACCAGATGTGATTCCTCAACCCTGTAATGTCTGAAGTGACACATGTTCATGGGGCTTGTGTCACTAGTCTCCAAGCGGGGCAAGAGACATCCCTGACCTCAATATTGACCATTTTCCTCCTCATCCTTGAGAATGAGACGTCTATAGGAGGTGAGGACAAGTTTCACAGAGCAGGATGGAGGAGATCCTTTCTCCAAAGCCCTTTAATCCCAGTGCAAAGGTTCAGTTCACACAGGAGGTGCAGCCCCTCTACCTATCCAGGATAAGAGTGTTGCAACCTCTTGCAAGAGATCACCGAGTCAAAGGATTATAGGATTATAGGGTAACTCTGAACCTTGCCAGTCTCATACAGTGGGGAGAGCACTGCTTTTCTGGACCATCCCCAAATGTTCCATGGCGATGTCTCTATCTCCTGTGTTCACAACATGGTGCATGGTGGCCTCTCCTGGCATTGAGGGAAGGAACAGGGTGCAAGGAGTCTGCACCATGTAGCCCATATGAGGGGCATGTATGAGGATGCTGTGATTTGGGGAGTCTTACTCTGCCTGTCTGTGAAATCAGAACAAATTGGGTTAGGAATTGGCTTAATATATGGTTAAATGGGAAAGGAAGATGGTTGTCTGCATCCTGGGTGACTCGCAGCATCTCCATGGTATGGCAGAAGCCACAGAGCAGCACCAAAAGCAAGGGCCAAAGTTGGGTGCAGAATGGAGGCAGGGGAGGTGAGCAGCACAGGTGGGCAGAGGTCCCTGGAGAGGCAGGCATGCTATTGGCTGTCATCAAGACTGCAGGCACACTTCAGAGTCCATGAACACTGATTTGAGAGGCATTTAAATACTTCTCCACCACAACCACCTCCCCAGATGTCGCCTTCCCTGTCCTCTGGACTGACTGCCCATTTTGCAGAGGACAGAGCAGGGCTGGTGTCCCTAGATTGTCCAGGCAAGGCAGGAGCTGGACATGGTGCACAAGGACAGCAGTAGCATTTGGCTGGACCAGCTGTGGCAGTGGCAGTGTTGGCTGGAGGCTTTTGCACAGGGTGAGACCAGACTATCCTGGCTTGTTCTCCCTTCCCAGTTAAACACAGGGATGGTACCTCCATCCCCACACAGGAATGAACACCTCTTGGTCCTGGTGCTAGTAATTCTTAAGGTGTCAGGGAGGAAACTGAGGCATGCATATGAGGACTCATGGTAGCATCAGTGGTGAGAAATGGGTCCAGCTGGAGAAATGGCTCTCCCAACCCACTTCAGACGATCTTTCTCCAAAATCCTGCACCAGCCAAGAAGGATTGGAGGATCCTGGACCATGGATGGGAGGTAAAAACCTGAGGAGATACCACATCACCACATCACTGGGGCAATGGAACATCAGCTGGGGTGGGAACCATGGCAATGACAATGCCCTGCTGGTAAACCCTTTATCAACTTTACCTAGATTCCCTTCCCCTCCCCAAATCCCCCCTTCCCAAATCTTGTAGGAGACCCAGTAGGTGTAGCAAATGTCTCATGTGCCCTGCTGCGGTGGGGGCAGCTCCTGAAGCCCCAGCTGATGCTCTACCAAGCAGTTTCACTGGCCTTCATTGTTTGCAGCATCACGATGCAAGAATTATTGGAGGGGGGGCAAAGAAAGGCCATGAGGGGAATGAGATGGGAGCCTCCAGCTGTGCTGTTTGCAACAATAATGGCCAGGATTGTATTTATTATTTCCTCAGTGGAGGGTCTGCAGCTGCGTGCTGAGAGCCACAGACGGTAAAGGGGCCCAGAGATTATTGTGCATGAAAAAAAAAAAAAACAACCACAAAAATAAATAAAAAGCCCACAAAGAAGCCTGGGCCAGCTGGAGCAGTGCCAAGGGGCACCCAGCCTAACTCTCGGTCTCCTCACTTTGTCCTTCCTTATTGAAGTCAGCAGCCCCGCAGGGCTGTTAGAAGGGAGGTTGGCAGCTGCTGCTTTTCAGAGAGCTAAAGCTGCATGGGGTCCTCTTAAAATCCTCCTGCCAGGGCGGGAGGTGTTGCCCAGCCAGGGTGAATTTGTTTTCCCTCTGCTTTTTCATGATTTTTGCTGGTGCTGGTGCACCATGCCCTAGGCACTCCATCAGTATTTGGACACCTGGTTTGCAGCCAACTCTGATTCAATAGACTGAATTATCTTGGAGGTCTTCTCCAACCTTGATGATTCTCTGATTCAAGGAAAAATAACTGGAAAGCCATTAGAGATTCAGGATGATGAGACTGTATTGAGCTACTTGCTCTTGGAGGACTGTGTCTCACCAGGAAAGACAGAGATATCATCCCAGGATATATCACCTTCTCCTGGCAGCATCCCTCCTCTCTTTTGCTTCCTTCCCCCTCCCTAGCTCAGCTTCTCCAGGGAAACCCATCTATGTCTACCCATGCAGCATGGTCCTTCTGCAGCTCAGACCAGCCCTCTGAGGTGGCTGGAAGCAAACCAGGTCAGAGATATGGGGTATATCCATAGATATCACATCTTTCCCTCAATGACCAGGTAGCTGCTGATGGGTCCTTGCAACCTGAACTTTCCTGAGGTGGAACACTGTGTGTGCCATCCCAGCTACATGTATGGCATGTGGCATTTCCCAGCTGGGCACAGTGACATGGCTAATCAGCTCTTTTAACAGCTAAAACCAAATATCCATCATGGGTAGGTTTCATCTCCCTGTGCTGCACCTCTTAACATTCCTTGCTACCATATGGTGTTCATCCTAGAGTGCATTCCTCTGGAATTATATCATGTCTCTGAGAGCTGGAGTGCAAGGAAAAAGTATTATTGTACAGAAGCCGCCATAGGAACCGGCTGGGCAGTCAGGTGTTCATCACCAAGGACTGAGGCTTTAGGAGAAACTTGCTGTGATCATTCTAGCTTTCAATAATTGACAAGTTAAGAAAGAAGGAGAGTTTAATCCTCCCCAGGTTACTGCTGTGATTTAGTAAAGCCTGGGTACTTGCAGGTTCCCTTTGTGCCTCGCAGTGAGTCCTTGGCCATTGGAGATGATCAGGCAGAGGGATTTGTTTGTAGCTTCACCAAGTCTTTCTACAGCAAAATGCTGTAAAGACTGACATAAAACCCTGTGTAAACCTCTCCTTTGGCTATGAGAAGCCATGTGAAGGGCTGGTCTGTTCCCGAGTTTGTGCCAAAATAACAGAGACCTCCCGTTCTGGGACATGTCACTACGATAAAAATCCTATTTGGGCTGAGTTTGAGGTGTGTTAAGAAAATATTTGTGTTCCTGGCTGAGATGAGGTCTCTGTTATACTCAGTGAGTGCCAGGACACTGAGATCTCCTGTTCCTTGAAATGCTCACAGTTAAAAAACAGAGGGGGGGAGGACAAGAAATAGGGGTTGTTGTGGGTAAAAGTTCAGAGTGGTCATGGCTGGGGTGATTTTAGAGCAAGAGAAAGTCCTGAGCTCTTACATCCCTTGCAGGCACCTTTGATTGATTCCCTGCAACTCTGGGCTGCTGGGAAGCAGCGTGTGGCTGCCAACGCTCCCAGTTTGAGCGGTCCTGCAGCTGGTATAGCCAGGAGGCAATGGTGGGGCTGGGATGTTCACATCCTGTCTGCTCCCAGAAAACCCTGTGAATGCCTCCTGGTGTTACTGGGAGGTGCTACACCACTCCAACACCTGCCTTCCCCTGCCCCCAGCCGCTCAGGAGGTTTGGCAGACAATTTCCTTTTGGGAATGCCCCCTCTGGGCACAAGCACAGCTTGACCTGAGGCTGGAGAGCAAAATTGCTTTCAAAAACCACAGGAGACTAATTCCTCCACCTGGAATAAAACTGTTGTTATCCTGACAGCTTCCTGAGCTGAGCAGAGGAAGGAATTTCATGCAAACCCTGGTGCCATGGCGATTTAATTCCTAATTTGCCCGTGCGGGAGGT